TTCCCAGGACTGGTCTCTCCTGCCTCCGTCCACGCCTTCCCCTCCGCGAGTAGTGGGGCGCGGAGATGAAGCTGGCGCAGGGGCGTTTGTGTGTGACCTGTGACAACTTAGTGTGATATGGAAAGGGACATTGCAAAAGTACCTCTAGCTCCACGTGGAACCCTCTCGTGCTACCTGGATTGCAAAAAAAAAACAGTCCGGTCATTGGGGTAATATATTAAGAGCTATGTGTAAGAAGGTTGGAAGTCTTTGAAAAGGTTTGAAGTTTTGAACCTGCTATGAGCTGTGCATTAGGTACTTGTCACCCAGCAGGTGGCCAGAGTTTGCTGTGACTGAGCCATACTTCCAGGCTTAAAGACCTGATTTTAGAGGTGTATTCATTTTCATAGTTACTATATCTGATTTACTGTCAGCCCCACCCTCAAATTTGAGGGTCATCTTTATACAGTTAACAAACCAGCAAAAGTCCCCTAATTCCTGCACTGTATCATCCTGATACATTCTAGTCAAGGTTATAAGTGCAAGAAAAATTGGCAAGAAATAGAAGTAATTTTGAATAGCTGTAGGAAATATCTTAAGATGACAGATTAATTCCTAAAATAATTGTGTCCCTTTGCTATAAGAGTTGTAAAGGAAGTCACTTCTAGATTGGCTTCCCTAGAAGGGTCTTAAAAACAAAGTTTCGAATATAGCTGAATTAGTTGATTTATGTTGCTATAGCAAAATATGTGAGATTGGATAATTCATAAAGAACGAAAATTTATTTTTTTCATAGTTTTGGCATTCACCTCGAAGTCCAGGATCGAGGCTGTAGCATTTGTTACGTGGTGAGGGCCCTCTGCTGTGTTATGGCGAAAAGGGGGAGCCTGAGAGGGCCTGAGCTGGCTCCCTCCAGCTTTTTTATAAGGCAGCAATCCCTTTATGAGGGGATGCTTGGGCGGGCAGTAGGGAGGAGCCACAGGACTCAGGAGCCGAAGATTTGTAGAGCTGGTGAGTAGCAGGACAAAAGCAATCAGGCTGAACCTCAGGAAAAGAAACAGTTCTCATATGAGGAGTCGCCTACAGGGATCGCTGCTTTGCGCGCATCAAGAGGATCAGAGCATTAAGAGGATGGGCCGCCATGGTGCTGCACATCTGTAAGCACTGCGGGAGGCTCACGTAGGACGACAGCGAGATCAAGTGAAACCTGAGTGACCAAGACTCTGTCTCAAAGGAAAGCAGAAGTTGAGGAGGTAGCTCAGTCAACTGGGGACAATTCATAGGAAAAAAAAAAAAAAAAAAAAAAAGGACAGCTACCAAAAGAGGACCACTGACAACCAGGGGGTGAGGTGGGGAAAGGCTTTACTTTTACAGCAGGTCTTGACACCTCGCTGAGTGGTGCCAAGTCCAGCTTCATGAAAGCTTGCAATACGGAAATGCCTCCCACTGGTCCCCAAGCCTGCAGGACACTGACCTGGCTTTTCTTGTCCCTTCGTCCTGTGCCCTTCCCTTCAGCCGCAGCCACCGTCCCAGGAGAAGTTCTACAGCATGGCTGCCCAGATCAAGCTGCTATTAGAAATTCCTGAGAACATCTGGAGCTCCATGGAAGCCTCTCAGTATCTCCACGCCACGCAGCTCTACCTGCTCTGCTGTCACCTGCACAGCCTGCTCCAGCTGGATTCTTCCAGTTCCCAGTACAGCCCACTCCTCTCCCGATTTCCTATACTCATTCGGCAGGTGGCAGCAGCCAGCCAGTTCCGGTAAGTAGATTCTGCAGAAAGCTCTCTGGTGATGCCCAGGTCCCACTGCTACAGTTTTATTCAGTTTGTGTTCTTTCCCTGTATATCCAGGCTCTTCCCCCAAGAGATTGAAAATTCCCTGCTGACACTTGTCCTCTTCTGTCTAGGTCAACCATTCTGCACGAAAGCAAGATGCTGCTCAAGTGCCAAACTGTGTCTGACCAAGCTGTGGCAGAGGCCCTCTGCTCCATAATGCTCTTAGAGGAGAGTTCCCCCCGCCAGGCCCTCACAGACTTCCTGATGGCCAGAAAAGCAACTATTCAGACACTTCTGAACCAGCCGAACCATGGTGGGTGTGGCTTCTTTCCAAAATGTGATCTTTATGTACATAGAGGATGGAACAGGGTGAGCAGAGGGAGACAGGGGCATTCAGAGGGCTCTATCTTTTAACTTTACTAGTGGAAATTGTTTAAAGAGAAGGATTTCTTCTCACAGGCTCTGGCATCAAGGCCCAGTTTTGCTCATTAGTGGAACTGCTGACCACCACCTTGAACCAAGCACATGCCCTTTTCTACACTCTCCCAGAAGGGCCGCTGCCAGATCCATCTCTGCCTTGCGGCCTGCTCTTCTCTACACTGGAGACCATCACAGGCCAGCATCCTCCTGGTGAGCACTTAACCAACATTGTCCTGGCTTATCTGACAAATCCTCACCAGCGCTTGACACATTCCAGCCATTGTGCCAGGCTCTGAGGAAACTAGAGAAACGTGGAAGCCATGGTCGAGAGATAGAGACGACTGTGTAACTCGTTAATATGCAAGTAGCTGCTTAATGTCACTGAGTCATTGCTGTGAAGGCAGAGTGCAAGTTGCCTTGGGAATGCTGACTGAACTTGCCAGGCTCAAAGACTTCAAAAAAGTGATAATTAAAATGAAGGCTAAAGGTAGAGTATAACTAGGAAGGTGAGGAGGCAAGGAAGAGGGCTCCAAGCAGAAAGGGAAGAGGGTACATAGAGTAGCAAGGCCAGGAAGGTGGCAGTGAGTTGGAGGACGTGAAGAAGGCCAGTAGGGGTGGGGCTTCTTGGGTGAGATTTGGGAGAGCCAAAGAGTGACCAAGAGCCAATTGTGGGCCAGGCTTGGGAGCCTGGACTTTGCCCGAGGAGCGGTGCATACCTTGGGGACCTTCCTGGATCAGTGTAGAGCCTCTGTGTTCTCATGTATCCCCTCCTTCAGTTGGGTAACATGGATCCTGACTGTAGTTAAACAAATGCAACTGACGCTTCTGTGGTAGTGGAACCCTATAGGGGAGAGAAATGCCGGGAGCTCACCTAGGAGGCTGGTGCTGCAGTCCAGGGCTCAGACTGGGTTACAAGGGAGCCGGAGAAATGGAGCTCACTGGGCAGCTCCAGTGTCTGCTGAGGAAAGGGTTTTTCTTTGAGACATAGTCTTACTATGTAGTTCAGAGTGGCCTTCAACTCACTGTGTAACCTAAGCTGGCTTCTTTTTTTTTTTTTTTTTAATGTATTTAGTACAGGGTTTTACTACACAAATTGGACTCATAGTGATCCTTCTGTTTTCAGCCTCCCAAGTGCTGGGATTACAGGCACGCACCCGTCTCAGTGTCTCAGCATGCTCCAGGGGCAGGGCTGGCACAGCAGTGGGGATTGAACCCCAGTGTCTTCCTCATAGGCGCTTTAATCTGCTGAGCTATCTGGCCGGCCTCATGCTGGCTTCTAACTCATAGTGATCTTTCTGTCTCACCCTCCTGAGTGGTGGGATTACAGCCTGTGCCACCTCGCCTGGCATCTGCAGGTGAGGCTCTGATGATGGCTTTGCTGCACCATGATGGGAAGAGGCTGTCCAAGTGAACTAGAAAAGGAGCTGGTATGGAGGGCCTGCCAGCGGGCCCACATGGCTGAAAGCATTGGACTGGAGAAGACTGACACCTTGGAATGGGCTGGGGGGGCAGGTCACTCGCAGACGCCCATCTGCAGTGCGTCTGCATACGGGAGTTATGCGAAGCATTCAGTAAACGAAAAAAAAAGATGCAGGACAGTTGGGTGGGATGCCAGGAATCCCAAGGTCACATGGAGGTGCCTGCAAAATAGCGGAAGTAGAAAGACCACAGACAAGCAAGTGAGTGCGGTTATGACCAAGTGGCCTTGTCCAAGAGGGATACAAGGGTCACACCACCCCATTTTTACTAACTTTACTTTTCAGCTCAGGCAACATTTCCGTATGTTCTGGTTTGTCTCCCAGTGCTTACGTGTGATCCTTCACTGCTTTCACAGAGGATGAAGACAGGCAAACAATTATGGGAGACTTCAGAAGCACCTTTGATTTCAGACTCATGGGGTCTCATGCAGGGAGTACAAGGAGTGTCACCTCCAAGAGCCGCACTGATGCTGGGCATTAGTGCTGCCTTTATTTTTTTAATCTTTTGTGTGTTAGAGAAGAGTTCACAGGGTGTTCAGGGTCTCACTACTAGATCGGACTCGTAGTGATCCACCTACATTCAGCCTCCCAAGAGCTGAGATTACAGGCGCGTGCCACCACGCCCAGTCTCTGATGTTACCTTTAGTTCATCAAGGGTGACAGGAATATGGTGAGGAAAAGAAAATGATACACCATACTTTTTAGACCCCTTAAGTTCTGTAGTCCCAGCTAGACAAGAGGCTGAATCAAGGGGATCACGATGCCCAGGGTGAGAGGTCACACTGGCCAACACAGCAAGACCCCAGTTAAAGAAAGGGAAAAATATGTATATTAAGAAGTGTACAACATTCATGGTCCTTCTGCTGTTTCTACTTAGACTCCTGTGTCCAGGGGAGGGCCAGAGTTGTAGGAACTGTGATCCCTGACTGGGGTGGGGGGGCTGGACATGTGCTGTACTTTCTTTTTCTATCGTTTTGTTTTGTTTTGGTACCAAGACTCAAACTCAGCACCTTACTCTTGCCAGCAGAACTCAGGACCTCACTCATGCTAAGCAGGCACTGCACTGCTGAGCTATATGCCTGGCTCTTCTTTTTCCTCTTATTGAAGTTTCTACTTTGACCAACCCAGAGAAAACTAGATCTTTGGAAATTCCTCTGAGGTCCAGCTGTAGCATGTTGTTCCAGGTACGCCCTGGGCTGCCTCTCACTTGGCTCTTTCTCTAGGGAAGAGCTTCAGTGTCCTGCAAGGGGAGATGAAGCTGGGAAGCTGGTTCAGACACCTGCCGTCATCTGTCATCGAGTTCCAGCCAGGACTCCGCACACTGGCACATCCCATCAGCCAGGAGTACCTGCGGGACACGCTGCAGCGATGGATTACCATGTAAGTAGCCGGAGAGCACCTCTGAGGTGGGTGTAGCCCCAAGGGTCAGCACGGAGACTCCCAGTCACTTGGCTGAAGTGTCACATGCACTCTCATGCGAGAAAGAAAGCTGACTTTCAAAATATTACAGAGGGGCTCTTAAATTCTCCTTAAGCAAGGGTGTTGTGAGCCCTAAAATTTTATTTAATGCATCAATATTTGAAACCATTCTGTGGACCTCAAAAGTCCCTTGAATTTTCAAGGAGGCAAGAATTAAGAAGGCTCTGGACTCTGTGCCCCCAACCAGTCAGAAACATTGACAACTAAGCGCTCTGAGTCTCTATCTGTCTACATTTCTATGTCTCTAGTTAAGTGATTTGCAAGTGTATGCCTGGGAAGCTGAGGCTGATGGATTCAAATTTGACCTTGGCCTGAGTAACTTAGGGACATAGCTATACCTTATCCCAAATAAATAAAAATTTAAAAGGGTTTGGGATCTACCTTACTGCAGAGGCTCTGGGTTCAATCCCCAGGTCACCCACTTCCTCAGAAGAAAAGGTTTGAAACAGGTTACTGTCATTTTTCTTAATAATGGTGTGAAAATCATAAATGTAATGAAGCTTAAGGAAAATGTTGTTCAGGTGTAACGAAGATATTAAGAATGGGGTCACCAGCCTGCTCCTCTACGTGAAGAGCATGAAAGGGCTCGCGGGGATCCGGGATGCCGTGTGGGAGCTACTTACCCACGAGTCCGCGGGGCCTGGCTGGGAGGTGGTGTGCCGGCGCCTTCTGGAGAGGCCGCTCCTGCTCTGGGAGGACACGATGCAGCATCTGTTCCTGGACCGCTTACAGGTGAGGTGGAAGGTCACACGGCCCCCATTGCACGGCCAACCCAGTGAGTGGGATCCGTGTTTATCCCAAGAGCCTCCTGTCACCTCCGGGTGTATTGTGTCCCTGCTCACTAACCCTGGGAGAACACACCATACCTCACTCGATGGCCTGGAACAAGCTCCCGTCCACCAGTGGTGGCGTCTGATTCTCTGCCACACTGCAGGTTTTCTGAATGTCGTGGGAGCATGCTGGATGCCAAGGGCCCTTGCCGCTCGGTGCTGTGCTTGTGGAATTTCTCTGAAGAAACAGGATCAGAAATCTCCTCTCGTTCTCTTTCAGACTCTGACAAAGGAAGGCTTCGAGTCCATCTCCGGCAGCTGCAAAGAGCTCCTGGTCTCGGCGCTGCAGGACCTCGAGAGCAGCAGCAGCAGCAGCAATTCCACATCAAACAAGCACATTCTCTTCGAGCAGAACCTGCCGCTCTTCCTCTGGCACGAGAGTCCCGCTGACCTGCCTTCCGATGCCGCCTGGGTCAGCGTGGCCAACCGACCGCGGGTAGCCAGCAGTGGCCTCTCCATGAAAGCGCAGGCTGTTAGTCCGTGCGTGCAGAACTTCTGTGCTGCCCTGGATTCCAAGCTGAAGGCCAAACTGGATGACCTCCTGGCCTACCTTCCCTCTGATGACACGACCCTGCCCAAGGATGCTACCCCCATGCGGCAGGCCAAGAACTCTGCTTTCGACCGATACGCAGACGCTGACACTGTGCAGGACATGCTGCGGACTCACTCTGTGGCGTGCGTCAAACACATTATAGGCTGCATCCAGGCAGAGATGCAGAGCATCGAAGGCACTGTGCAAGGCCAGGAGGACATGCTGCATAGCCCCAAGCTGCACATGGTCCTTTTCATGGCCAGACTCTGCCAGTCCCTGGGAGAACTGTGCCCCCACCTGAAGCAGTGCATTGTGGGAAGGTCTGGGAGCCCCGAGAAACCGGCCAGGGAGGCAAGAGCTCCAAAAAAGCAGGGGATGGGCAAAGCGCAGGATCTCCTTCCTGCGCAGGCCCAGTGGCAGGAAGTTAAGGAATTGCTTCTGCAGCAGAGTGTGATGGGCTGCCGGGTCTGGAGCTCAGCAGTGGTGAAAGTGAGTGACAGGAGACTTGTAGGCCTTCATTTGCCTGCTTTATGTTGCTCAGGCCTTGCCAGGGCCGCAGCTGCCTGGGTTGTAAGAGTGGCAGCTCATTTCGCGGTTGCTTGCAACCTGCCGCTCCAAGATGGCTCAAGTGTGAACATTTTCTGCTTGTTTTTAACTTAGATTTCATAGACAGAAAATCTTCATTTTTTTTCCTTCTATCAGGAGGAAATGAAAGCTGTCCCGCCAAGTGTGGCGCTGGGCTGTGTCCCTAGCATCTGAGAGGCTGAGGTAGAAGGATCACATGTTTAAACCCACCCAGGGCAGCTTAATCCCATCAAGACTGTCTCAGCTAAGCCAGGCACAGGGACTGGAGGTCGATCCCTGGTGCCACATGCTGGGCACGTGCTGCGCTGCCCCTGCCCCTGGGCACTCTGAGCTGGGAAGGAGTCCAGGTGTGGTGGCCCACACCTATAATCCCATCACTGGGGAGGCTGAAAACAGGAGGATCCTACAGATCTGAGCTGCGTAGTGAGACCTTGTACCAAACACATTAAAAAGTCTCAGAATAACAAAAACTGAAAAATGGGTGGGAGATGTAATTCACTGCAAGGGGCTAGAGTTAAATCCCCAGTACCATACCGTGTCACACACCCAAGAAAGAAAAGCAGCACTTTGTACCGAGCCGGGGACTGCGTCCTGCTTTGCAGTATAGGTATCTTCATCTCTGCATTCCACTGGTCTCATACCAAAACAGTTAATTTTGCATAAACAACTCATGAACTCAAATTATGAACAAAAGAATTAGGAGCATATTAGAAATAAGAGAAACAGCTCCTGTTGCCAGATTTTAAATGATCCAATTTGGTTAGGGCTTTCTGTGTGCAGGATGGGAGTACAGGGAGCTTGTTTCAAGGAAAATGCGTATAAGAACTGGGTTACATTGCATTTCTGATGTCTTGGAGGTACAGAGGAACTACCAACCTAGCAGACTAAGAGATTTTGTGGGGAGGGAAAGACCTCTTTATTATAATCTTTTATTTCTTTAATATTTTAAAGCTTATCTAGCTGCTTGAATTAGCTCTTAAATGGGTGTGTGTTATTTTTAATTTTTACCTGATTTTATCTCAGGCTGTTCTAGCTATGTGCTTACAAGATGAGTAGCTAAACTGTTACAGTATGAGGTGATGTCTGGTAGGGTGCATAGTACCCCAATCCCTGACCGGTAGTGGTGATTGGCCAAGAGAGTGGTAGGGGCCCCTCGCCACCCCAAGTACAACTGCAGCACCTTAATGTGCTCTGAGGTGGTTCTGATAGTTTGAATCCACAATTGATATGAACTCATGTGGGTCTTGGATTCTGATCACAGGTTCTGAGTCACGGGCTCACCCAGTCCCTGCTTGTGGATGACGCCGGCTCAGTCCTAGCTGCAGCCACGAGCTGGGAGGAAGTAGACATTCAGGAGGAGACGGAGTCTGGCAGCAGCATCACATCCAGGATCCGACTGCCTTCTCAGGTGAGCGCAGCCTGCTGCCACAGGGACCTGAGCCACAGGACAGAGAGACCTCCCCTGGGGAGCAAAGCCATCTTCCAGGATCATTTGCCCTGCACCCTCAAGGGGTAGAGAGTGCATGTGGCAGGACTGCAGGGCG